CCCCGCGCCCGCGGGCCGCCCCAAACGGCGCCGGGTGCAGCCGCGCCGCCGCCACATTTCTCTTTTGCGGGGCCCGGGGTCGGCGGCGCGGGGGCGCGGGGGCGCGGGGCCGCCCCCCACGCCTGGGGCCAGGCCTGGGCCAGCGGCGGGACCCGGTCCCCGCGCGCGGGGGGCCCCCTCTGCGCGCCCGCGCGCCCGGGAAGCGACCCCAACTAACACACAGAGCCCCGCGCCCGGCGGCGCCCGGCGTGGCCCGGCGGGCCGGGGGCGGGGGAGGGGGCTCCGCCCGGGGCGGGGGCGGGGGGCCCGAGACCCTCCGTGACGCCAGGCCCGGGGACCCCTGCGGGCTTCCCTCGCCCAGGCTCGAGGGGGCTCCGGGGCTGCCCCCTTCCCCCCCATGTCCAGTCACAGACAGCTCCATGCGTCCCCCCCTGATCTGGAAAGCTCCCCCTGAGCTCTGGGTGGGTGAGTGGGAGACCCTCACCTTGAAACCCACGTGTCTGCCCTCTTCGGAGGCCCCCACTAGCCTCCCAAGTTCAGGGTCAAGGGGGCTCTCAGGCTGGCCCCTTTCCCCCACACCCAGCTACCACCAGCCCCAAGTTTTTCCCTTTGCTCTAAAAAGTGCCCCTTGATGACTATCTAAGGGGATCCCCTCCCTCTTGGACCCCTTCGCCTTATCCCCTTGGAGACCCCGGTGACTGTTCTCCCCAGGAGGACCTCCTGACTTCCCCAGTTAAGTCCAGAAGGGGCTCTGGATCTCCCCTTTCTCCCCTACACCCAGTCACCTACGGCACCATATGTATCCTCCTATGCCCCCACTTGGAAAATGCCCCTCAACTGCAGTGTTATTTTCTTCCCTGTAGAGCCAAGTATGACCAGTCCCCCGGTGACCCCCACTTGACTGCCTGGACTCGAGCCAGTTAAGGGGACCCTCTGGCTGTCCCCTCCCCTACAGATTCATCCAACAGTATCAAATTGATTTCCTCCCATCACTTCCCAGCGAGACCTATAAAGTGCCCCTACCATAGGGGGCCAGAACCCCCACATCACTGGATGGGTCCCAGAGATTCCTGGGCTGCTAGGAGTGGCACCTGGCTTTCTTGGTCCTTGGAGGACTTCACTTTTCACTTCCTACTCTCAATCCACCATCAATCATTGTTTCAAACAGACCTTAAACAGCTCCGCTCCCCATCTGAAAAATGGTCCTGGACCCTCGACTGGGGCGGGTGGGGGGGGGGCCAGTCCTATATAGATCCGAGTATGTTTGGAGCAAGGACCCCTTCAGGGGAGGACTTCCCAGGCCCCCTACAATCCACATTCTCTTTGCCCTCAGCATCTTTCAAGTAAACCCAGCCTGCCAGAGAGAATCGGGGAGGGGGTGTTATAGATTCCCATCATGTCCCTACCCCGAACCTTCCTAAAGATAAGTGTCTCAGCCAGGGAGTTTAGGGGGGTCCAGATATCTGCCTTCACTCGTACCCTTCGTCATCCTGATCCGAGGGTCAGCGCCTCCCCCCTCCCCCAGCCAAAATTCCAATATTTATCCTAAGGAGGTGGGGAGAGGGCGCAGGCAGGGATGCTCCATCTTTGTCTCCACTCCCGAAGCAGCCTCTGACCTTGCCCCTGCCCTTAGCATCCTAAACATAAAGCCAGTGTCTGGCCGGAGGGCATGAAAGGCCATATAGACACATCCCCACACCTTGAACCTGGGGCCGGCCAGCCCTTAGGCTTCCAGCCAGTCCCAATAGAATAATCTTGTGTCTGGCCAGGAAGTTTGTGAGGGTTGGGGGAGGGGGCCCTAGGAACGGCTTCCCAAAAGCCAGCAGCCCTCTCCAGGTGTTTGGGGGCCCGTACGGATTGACCTAGGGAGCCCCCTCCTCATAGAAAGCCGCCCTTGAGATGTCCAATAGGCGGTTGGTTTCCTTCCTTAGGGATTTTTTTTTCTTTTTTTGGCTAGGGGGATTGGGCCGTGAGAGGATTCCGCGTCCAGGAGTCCGAGCTTCCCGGGTCTGGAAAAGGGAGGGCTGCAGCAAGGGTCTTGGGAGTGGGGACTCAGGAAAGGGGGGGGTCTCGGATCCGCTCTGAGAAGCTGGGAAACTTTCACTGGCCAGACAGTGAGTGCATGCATGCAGCACAGTCCTATCGCCATCTTGCTGGGAGGATTTTCCAAAATGTATATCCCTCTTTGTCCCCCCCTGCCCGGCCAAGCAGGGAATGAGAGGGAACCTCTTGAGGGGGACAACTGCCGGGGCCCCAGGCTGTACGGGGGTGGCCGGAGCACAGCCTCTAGTGTGGCTAATCTTGGGGTCTGGGAATGCCCACCTCCCAGATCCCTGGGTGCCCACGCACCAGAAATGCCCTGCCCGCCCTCTCCTCCAGATTTAGCTCCTTTTCGGCTTTCTCTACTCTCTCTCCCGGCATCCCCACCCCACCCTACTTATCTTTTAACCCCCCAATCGAGAAGTCAGAAACTTCTCAAAGATAAACAGTAAGAGATCTTTTAATAAGAGGCTGTAAATCATTAACGTGTGTCCTTGGACGTTTGGGGGCTGTTGACCCACACAGCATCGCCTATCCGGGCCGAGAAGTGGGAAGGTAGGGGAAGGGGGAACCTTTGGATGGGGGGAGGGGTGGCTTTGAACCCCGAGAGCAAAGGGCTCCCATAGGTCTTTTAACTAGGTTAAGGAATTTTGGGTCCCAGCTGCTGTCCCAGGGTTTTCAAAGGAACCACGCCCCAACCTCTCCAGTGGAGGAAAGTTACTGGGGTTATTTGTCAGCCCCTCACAGCCCCTCCCTCGAGGCCAAAGCGATTAATTCATCTGGACCGTGATTGTTGGGGGGGGGGCGGGGCGGGTTTAGGGCGGACGTGAGACACTCGGGACTGGAGTTCAGACACTTTTCGGCTTTATCAGTGAGGCACAGACTTGGGGGTGGGGGGATGAGAGGGATGGGGGGAAGGGCAAGGGAAGGGCTAGAAAGGGGAAGGAGGGGAAGGTGGGGAGTTGGGCCCCAAAAGTGTTGTTTTTATTTTCTTGTTTACATATTAACCTAAAACAAACTGATTCAGCTAAAATGCAGCGTGCTGCTGTATTAAATCCCAATTCGGATTTGATTGTTTAAGCAAGCGTTGCCCAGTTCCAGCCCACTTTAATAGCTATAGATCCAATCCAGTCTCTTAGCCTTTGCATAGGCTGGTCACCATCCCTGAGATGCCTTCCCTTCTCAGTTTCCAGCTCCCTTCAGGTGGAACTCAGCCTCTTTTCTAGGCTTAGCTTTTCCTGTGTAAGTAGGAGGAGTAAGTACTATGTAAGTAGCACCTCCTATGTAAGGCCTTTCCTGGGCTCTCCCAATGAAAGCCTCACCTGAAATGTTTTGCTTTTATTTCTCTTTTACTTTGTTTTTGCTCTAGGACTCATCATTTCATCACCTCTCCTAATGGATTCATCACTTCCCTCTTCAATTCTTCCACCACACGACTGGCAAAATGATTTGCTGTCTGACAGCGGCTCTCCTCAGCTCAATAAACTCCTTAGCTCCCCTTTACTACCTAGCTGCCCTCGTACCCGAGCTGGCACACAAAAGGCTTTTAATGAAAGCTTACTGATTGATTGATTATTTATGTACCTGTCATTTCTCCCCCCAGAGAGGGGGAGGGTAAGGACTATCTTAAAATTTTTGTCTTTGAGCCCAGAGCCCAGCTTATTGTTAATATTGTTAGTATACAGTAGGTGCTTAGTAGTGAAGTGGATAGGACACTGGGCCTGTGGTCAGGAGGACCTCAGTTCAAATGCCGATTCAGACCCTCATTAGCTGTGTGACCTTGGGCAAGTCACTTAACCCTATTTTGCCTCAGTTTCCTCATCTGTAAAATGAGCCAGAGTAGGAAATGACAAACCACTCCAGTGTCTACGCCAAGAAAATTCATAATGGGATCAGAAAGGGTCAGACTGGACTGAACAACAGGTGTTTAGTAAGTGTTAGTTAAACAACCAAGCAAACACTTAACTGTTTGTAAACCGCAGTATTGGACAATCCTCTACCAACTAAATATCAGCTCTTCTTCCTCCCCTCAACCCCACCAAAATTAACAAGTTCCTTGAGTTGGGGTGAGCATCTTGACGTCAGGAGTAATGGATTAATTATGTAATTATAATAATGACAAAAAGAAAAAGGAGGAGGAGGACCTTAGGTAAGTCTCTTTTCCTCTTCT